ATTCCCTGGAAGCAGAAGCAGAAACAAAGTACAGAGACTCTGGAGTCCACGGATCCATCCGAGACTGAAGGAACCTCTATATTTGGGGATCAGCCCATAGTCTGGGAATCAGCTGTAATGACCTGGAAACCTGCTTTTGTCCTTTGTCCACAGGACTAAGAAAATTTGGGGACTTCTGACCTGACACTGGACTTGGGCGCCCCCTTGTGAGCAGATCCCTGTCCTGCCGCTGGGGGCCCAGGGAGCCTGGGGAGGGCCTGGCTGAGCAGGAGAAAGGGCGGCTCTGGGCTCCTGTGCTCAGCCCTGTGGCCACACGGGGGCGCTGCCGCGCTGCTCCGGATTTGGTGGCGCCGCCAGGACGGGGCGGGGGCTGAGGTGGGCACAGCTGGGGATGCTGGAGGGTGGCGACCTGGGGGTGAGATGCTCTGTGAGGAGTCAGAGCAGCAGGGCTCAGAGGAGAGGAGACTCCGGAGCCTGCCCTGTGTGTGAGGTTTCCATCTTTTCTCCCAGAACCCCTCTCTCCAGTCCCTGGACGGTGATACCTGGGAAAACTGGAAAAGAAAAAAATTTTTCTTTATATAACCTATTAAATATTGAGAGTATTTTAAAAAATAACATTTAAAGAATACTGTTCGATTTACAGAAAAGTTGCAAAGGCAGTACACGTCTTGTTTATCCCACACCATTTCCCTTTTGTTAACATCCTACATGAGTACAGATTTTTTTTTTTTAACACTAATGCAGCAATGTTGACATAATAACTAAACGCCATACTTTAATTCGTTTTTGCTAATGTCCATTTTATGCCCAATAATCCCATCCAGTTTGCCTGGATGACAGTTTCTCAGACTTTCCTTGTTTCCTTGGGAGAGGTGTTGGGGTCACAGATGGGGGTTCTTGGGTCACCTCTAAGAAAAACTTCACCAGAGTCCTCCTTTCAGTGGGGTGAGGGCACACACACACACGCACACATATGAAAAGAAAGAAGTCCATGCTTGCACAGACACAAATTGGCAGGAGGACCTGATCCTGGAGGGGGGGGTGTGTTGGGGAAGCCTGTTAGTGGAGGCTCATTAGAACTCTGTTGGTGTGTGTGGTGTGGAATTACACATTTTAATAGGTGTGAAGCTGTACTCCAAAAATTTATACAGTGTTATAAACTAGTGTAACACACGCATATATATATTAATTATTGCTTTTGGGTGTTTTGCTTACATTACTGCTAAAAGCCATGATCCATTACGGAGGTCTTACTAAGTGGGCCTCTTAGTTGAATCATAGTCTCTGGTATACTATCAGCTTTCCAATCCTCAGATATGGAGGAAATTTCTAATTCCATTTATACCACATCTAGGTCATGGGTAAGAAAATGTTTGCTCCTCAGTTGATCTATGTAGCCAACATCTGCATCAGTAATATAGAAAATCCTTGAATTTCCTCAAATTATGTCCTGGAAAATGTTCCTCAAATTATGTCCCCTGCAGTTATTTCATTGTTTTCCTTTCCTTTCCAGTCTGATTTGGCTAATTTTAATGCCATTCCAATAGGGAACAGTGGTAGAGAAAGAAATAGATGAGATAGTAATACATCACTCCTTAATTCTTGTAGCCCTAGGAAAATCAAGTGTTCTCTATGGTGGTGAAAAGAGGAGATTATTTCCTGATGCAGGAGCACTCACAATGTAATGGAAATGCAGGGTTGTATTGCCATGGTTTGATCCATAGCACATTTTGGAATAGTGCCCAAGTCCTGTTTCATAAGCCTAAATAACTAACCTGGACCCGGGTTCCAAGGAGGACCATGAATTTGTGGCTCATGCGTGCACACTCCTCTGCCCCACGGGGGGCATATTGTGGCAACACCCTTGTAGAGACTTTGTTTCCTGTGGTTTCCTGAGGGGAGGTTCCCCGAACTGTGTTTGCATGGAATAGCTGTGAGCCATCTACAAACTTCCATAATGGAGTTTCCCTTCATGTATTTAAGCTGTATTCTGTTGTATAGTGATTTGTGGACCAGACAATGTAGCAGAAGTACACTGAAGCAAGTTGATTAAGAGTTGATAAATGAATGTAATGTAACAGAATTAGCTGACTGCTTTATTCTCAAAATGTTTATACTTCAGTTAGTTTATGCTTTAGTTGGAATTACCATGTTAATCCCTTCATCATATTGCTCTGTACTATTCTCAAATAGTTTCTCATTAAAGTCTTTTCTCCTTGATCTGCTTTGCAGACTTTCCAAACAAAGACTGCCACCTTTTTCCAATGTATGTTTTTCAAGCATCACAGAACTGGGGTGTAGACCAGAGGTGCAGTGGTTGAAAGGATTCACCAGAGAGAGTGGGGAGCAGAACAGGCAGATGTACTGAAATACACTGCTCCAGGGAGCAGCAGGCATGACAGGAGAAGGCTGCTGTACCCTATGTGGCTTAGCTCCCTCGTGGGGAATTGAACTCAGGCCACAGCAGTGATAGAGCTGAGACTTACTCTCAAAGCCAACAGCGTGGCCCCTTTCCCAATAATTTCTCACTGCACCATTGGCCATATAGAATTTAATATAAAATGAATGTGTCTTTACTGATCAATGAATCATGTCACAGGCAAGTTTTAGATTTAAATTAATTGGTATGCATGTGTAAGGACTATATACTACATGGTTACTATGAATAGTTTTTTCTGAAATTGAAAAGACTCTTTTTGGTAAATGTCAAAGTAAAAACTAATATGAAAATATTTAACCTTTCGTTCTTATTATAACAAAATGGAAAATAACAAATGACAGGGTTTCACATGGTAGCCCTGAAGGATAATGCTTTTCAGATCCCTTTTATCCAT